ATTTCTTCTGGTTAGTTAAATATATGTATATGTATGTATGTATGTGTGTGTGTGTGTATATGTATATATATGACAATAAATTGAAAGGTGGTTAATGGGATCAAAATGTTCCAAGGTCATTTCATTGTCTGAGGAGTTTCAAAGAACTGATTTATGTTAGACTGTGAAAAAGCAAAAATGTAATTGTAATCTAATGGTAAACACTACGACAATTGCAAAAGAATGTTTATCGCGCCAAATGAGGGTACAATTTAATATTTAAGTATTTTAATCACTTCAAAGGAAAGGAAAGTGTCTTAGAACAGGCAAAAATAAATGTACAGGAATACAGTATATATAAACCAAATTATATCTATATTTACATTAACAGTTTCATACTAAATATTCCAAATTAAAAGACAAATATTACCAGACTAGATAAGTAACATTCTTCCAAATTCTCCTTAAAAGCAACACATGCCAAATCTAATGAGCTAGAAAATTTGAAATAAAAAAATGACAAAATGTATAACCTTGACACTCTAACTTACTAAGAGCTGGTTTTATCATAATGCTAAAAGAAATAGTGTAATTTAAAGAAAAAACATTACTAGAGAAAAAAAGGAAATTTCATTATGATAAAAGTTTCAATGCAATAACTAGATATTATTACAAAATTCTAAATTTATGTGCATATCTTACTGTAGAGCCACAATATGCAAAGCAATGACTGATAGAAGTAGATGGAGAAACAGAGAAAACTATGGTCATAGTTTTAACACATCCCACTGAGTGACACATAAAATGGCAGACAAAAATTTGGCTAAATGAAGATTTAAAATATAAGTTAACAAATTCACTTACTTGACATAGAACAGTGCACATAACTAAACAAGGAACAGTCTGTAATAGGTCACTTGCTGGGCCACAAAGCAAACCTTAATAAACTGCTATGGGGTAATACGATCTACACTGAATAGCCGATGTAACATTCAAGGGTAATGGTGGGTTCTCTGCCCCTCCCTTCACCTCTAATTCTCCCTCCAAAGAATGTTCATTTACACCCCTCCCCAACCGAGGTAACCCTTCTCTCTCTCTAAACCCTGGACCTGAGAGGACCACATGACTCAGGTCTTTCCCCTCAACCAGGGAATCAATTTCACCTCTGCCACCTCCACAGGAGGGAAGGTTTCCATGCGGAACCAGGATGGGTTGTCAGGGCCCATCTTGCCCATTTCCTCAAGAGGGTGGAAAAAAGTCAGCCTGGGCCCTTATCAACCCTCTTCTAAAGGGGCGCGTTGGCTAGGTGTCCTATGGGTTAGGATACAGAAAGGAACCCAGAACTCCTCCAACCTTGTGGAAATCTAAGGCCAACATCTCATAATGACCAACTCACCCATGCTGTGTCCTGACAGCGACCTGTCACCTCTGTCTTCACAGGCTGCTTGTGAAAACATCTTGTGAGATCTGGAGTTGGATGTTTGGGGAAGATCAAGGAGGGCTTTCGAGGTGGGTGAGAGCTGATCCCAAACCACTTTTCCAGGGCCACGCAAACAAAATGAAGTCCTTACAGGAAGTCTCTCCCTTAAACGGATAGAGTTGAAAGCCCTGGAAGCCAGAGGAGACTAAACTCCCTGCAGTTACTCTCTTTTACGTTTGCTACCAGCCTAACACCCAGGTTTTCCACATGGAACCAGGATGGGAACTGTTTCCAACTGAACCACCCAGCAGAGGAGGCCAGCTAGAGTCAGGGGGCCTGGACCTGGCTACTTGTATCTAAACACAGGGAACTCCGTATGCCAGGCTCTGTGTTGGCTGCATTACATTGTATTCATTCCTTCTGCAAACCCAGGGAACTTTGCGTACCAGCTGTAGGCAAGGCTCTGTAGTTGCAATATTGCTTTTTTTTCTTTCATCTAATCTTCACATGGTAACTCTGATAACAAAATTGCAGGCTTCCAAGGTTGCTTAGGATTAATGTGGTGCTGGAGATTGTCTGGAGGCATTCAAATGCTAACTGGAGAAACAGAGACTGGAATTGAGCTCCATGGGATGGGGATAATGCTCCATACTTAGCTTTACTAAATTCTTGCTGCAATATGTGGAATTTTCCTAAGTTAGGATAATGTAACAGAATTCCAGTCACATGGCTGGAATTCACCCCAGCCCATCCCAGAAATATGATAAAACAAACAAACAAACAAACAGACTCGGAAAATATAAAGGAAATAGCAGAGTTTGGTGGGTCACTGTAATGAGAGTAGAAAACAACAAATCTTGACTTTTCCTTAAAAATATATGTGTATATATAGTCAATGGAGATACATGCCCCTTAGTAGACCCAAAATTGTAGCTCTGCAAATAGTTTAAAGGGCTTTGCAAGGGGAAAGAAAGAAAGGAAGAAGGAGCCTAATAAGCTCCAGTGCTTTTAGCCAGAACTTTCTTGAATTTTCCACCCCTTGTCCACGATCCCTTTCGAGATCTCATGCCCTGAGTCGGAAAGTCTAACCCATGAGAGAGGTGAAAAATAATCTGCACACAAAAGTGTGAAAATTTGGGGTGAAGGAAGTATAAAACAGAAATGCACAAACATACACAGATAAACTGTCAAATCAAAATTGATTTTTTTTTACAAAGCAGTCTCATATGAACATTTTTATAACATGGTAAATATATGTGAATTTTTCTAATTGGTTATTAGACATATTCAAGTGTTTCAACAAATTTGCCTAATCACAAAATGCTAAACATTAAAAATACATACTTTAAAATGAAATTATTCTGTACCTTACATCTATATGATCCCCTCACAGTCACTCACAGATATCCAAGATACCCAATGTAAATAGGTTGGTGCACTTTTTCTAGATGTATCTGTCTTTGGGTAATGTGTACACCTACATTAAAATATTTGTGTAGTTATGTAGATACATATACTTTTTATTCACAGTCACACAAATAATTTCCTGCAAATTAAATTTTTCACCTGTTATGTCATCTCCAGACTTTCATTTATTCAGTTACTGTGGCTTGGCATCTTTCCAGATGTTTATTAGAGAAGTATTTTGTATGTATGCGTACTGTATTTACATATATACATATAAATATAATATATGAAAAACTATATATATAGTGATCAAAATTTAGAAGAACATACATGTTTATGTATATTTACTTACATAGTACTGTACACACACAAAAATATATCTGGGGACTATAAATTATCAAGGATGTACATCTTGCTATGAAGCAAGATGAAAAAAATATACAAAAATATTTTTTTCAAATAAATATTCCTGCACTGCATAAGTTTTTGAAAAAAATATTAATTTGAAATTAGTAAAATAACTGATGTAAAATTTTATAACATTACAATATATACCTGGTTGGGAATTTTATTACAGAAATAACATGTATGTATGTATGTAGCATAACAATTTATGCTACATACTAGCTATATCTATTTTTTACATTATTTTTGTTTCTCGATCACACACAGATAGATTTCTTGTCATAGTTGGGAGGGAGGTGCTGAAGAAAAGTTCTTGCCACTACATATAATGTATGCATGCTCTGACTCACCCTTAATGCTTCATTTGCCACAAAATCTTCCAGAAATTCCCTGAAGAGGACCTTGCACCACCCCCTTTTTCCAAGGCTTCTTGCTAAGTGATGTCCAAGTTCCTATTCTAGATGTGTTCATCAGTGGCACAGACTCCAATTTCTGAATTTTCCCCAGTGAAAATATTATTTGTGAGAGGAAAGAAAAAGCTATTAAAAGTTATTTTGCATTAAGAGTGGTAAAAGAACATGTAAAATAAAATTATGCTCAAATTACTTTACCTAGTGATTTTCTTCTTCTCTTTGGTTTCACAAATAGAAATCATAGTAACAACATCACACTCCTCTTGGAGGGCTGGTGAATATTATAGGCCTAGAGTGGGAGCAATGAAGACAGAATGGGCTCAAAACTTTCTACAATTGTTCTGCTAATTTTTACAAAGTTTTTACCAGCACATCAAACTGCTGGGTAATGGATT